GCAGCAGCAGCAGCAGCAGCAGCACATGTTCTCGCTTCAACTTGGCACAATTCAACTCCACGCGTGTGGTGCGCAAAGAACATGGGTATCATCCTGCGAAACTGTAGTGAAGCACCGAGTGTATATACTGCTGACATGAGCAAGGCCCCCCTGAAGCACCCAGAGCACACGAGACAAATTGCGCGTCACCCAGCAGCGCTCTCTGCACACACCGCAGCAGCGACGGGGGAACTCGATTTTTCAGCCGCAGATCTCCGCCTTTTTTTCACATTGTGCACCGCTGGTGAAAACATCAACGCAAGCCCGTAAACCATCGCACAACAGCTGCTGCTGAAAGCACACAACTCTAGACAACTCTAGACTATCTAGTCTAGATGCTCACCTGACTCGTCCGTGTTCCAAACGTGGTCGGGTGCTGGCTTGTGCTCGTTGACGAACTCCTGCCAGAACTTGTAGAAGTTGTGCAGACGATCATCTTCCGGCGAGGTCATCCTGTTGGCCTCGTAGATGCGGGCGAGTCGAAGGCTGATGCGATCGTGCCTTCGGAGGAAGCCCTGCAACCACGACTTCCCCGGGCCCTTGTCGGGGTCCCATGGGATCGGCCGGCCGTCGTTGCAGAGCTGTCTCACACGCTCCTTCAGGTCGTCGTGAGAGGAATATAGTTCCGACCAGCGTACAGCAGCACATCTTTTCCGCGCATTTTCTTCCTCTTTCGTCAGCACAGTCCCGTGGCCAACCCGTGCGTCCATGTCGCACTCACCGCTCAGGCGCCGCAGTAGCGAGGTCTTGCTCAACCCAAAGGCAGCAGCGGCAGCGTAGCGTGACATGCTGCCGTTGCGGACCGCTGCACACGCCTTCTCGGCCGCTGCGGAGTCCACTCTACTCCGACCCATGCTTAGCAGGAAGGCGGACAAAAGTGCTAGTCTACGCAGAATCATCCGTGCTGGTGCATCTGGTGCTGTAGCTCGTGGTGGAACGGTCGGATCGTCGCGCTGAGGTGCGCAAACGCAAGCTAACGCTTTTAGCTGACTACCGACGAGACGTTGAGAACCTGTTACAAGTAGAAGTGTGGAGAACAGCGGATGGTCTCTCCGTTGAGCTTCAACTGCATCAATAACTCCCTAATTTAGCTGTCGTCCCGCTTTGTCTGGCCGTAAGTTGCTTGGAATGACGCGCGGTATCCCTGTGTGCTTGGTTGGGATCGTAAGTTCTACTGTAGGTTATGGCATGGGCTTGAGCAAGGAGAGTGCTTGGTGAATCCTGCCGTATGCATTCCGAATGCGGCAACCTGGTGTGAACGACCAACACATTACTGACCAACCCAATACGTATGTTTGTCGGCAGGAGAACCGATATAGGTGGTACTCGCACAAGTCGAGCAGCAGAAGCTAATCTACAGAGCAACAGCGCTCAAAACTCTTACACCTATCTTCGCTGTGTTCCCATGGCCATCGGTTGTCACACAAGCCGTCGTTCGGCCCAATCGATAGTGGTTCCCGAGATACGCCCAACCAAGAAGGTGGCCGCATCTCTCTTCGGCGGTGTCGGGCGCATCGATGACACCACCCGAAAATTTGAAACCGCCTCGAAATGGGCACAAAGCAGTCTGCACTGAGTTCCCACTCCCTCCAGCTGTCGCTTTCGCCGTCTTTCGACCAAAGTCGACACGTGGTTTCCGAAACATGTCCATCAATGAGGTCACATGTTGCCCTGGGACATTGTACAACAGTAGTGCGTGTGTGATTCCCTTCTCACTTCCCCAGGCACATGCCCGACCCGTCATGCGTCATACCTACACCGATTTCAGGGGACATGGGGGAGCGAAGCCATCCTCCAGGCGGCCGAGACGTAGGGAGCGCCTCCCTTGGAGGATGGAGGCCTGATTACCTCAATCAAGTCTTACCACGCGCTTGACTTGCTTCTGCGGAGAGTACCGCGCTGTCCGCCGTTGCTAATGGGTGACTGGTACTCGTTCGAATCTGCCCGAGATCGATTGTTGTTCCCTGCCTTGTCTTGGTATGCTATTGCGACTGTCATATTTGGCGGTCGGTGTGGCTTAAAGGTACGCCAGGCATGGGCACTATGAAGCCGCCTGCTTGTAGAGCCAGTTTGGACTGCATGTTTTTCGGTTGAACTCCTGTCTGGACGCGTTGCAGCACATGGCGTACTATTGTGCAAGATTCACTGCCATTTTCCCTCCGCTTCCCCTCCGCGGTCGGCAGGTTCGATTCATGTTCGTCGCTTTAAGTAGCTACTGCTGTTGAGTTTGCTGATCCAGAAGGCCTCGACTGTGCTCCAAGTGCTGGGGTGGCATACACAGAAGGTCCGACTTGCCACAAGAAGCCAGTCTTGTTTTGCCGACATTATGATCATTGATACATGACATGAAGAATGTATTTTCGGGTGCAAACAGATTCAAGAAGCAACTCATGTGGGGATTATGATGAACGACAGGCGTGCTTTTTGGGCGTAGTTCATTCTAACTAAAGACGAGAAATGGAAATTGTGATGAATGAATTGTGAATCGAGGTTGCATGAAATACATTTGAAGATATTTGCATGTTTCATTTGGACATTGGTTCCGACTCCACGCGGAGCGAATCAACAATTCACGCAGGGATGATTGATGAAGCACTGAACAGGGTGGCGACGAAACTCGTACGTTGTCGTGCTTGTGTCGGGGTGTGATCCTTTCTAACGAGAAGACGGGAAATGGATATTGTGATGAATCGTGAATCAAGAATCGCATGAATCGTGAATCAAGAATCGCATGAATTGTGAATATATTTCCACGGTTTCATTTGGACATTGGTTCCAACTCCACGTGGAGTGAATCAACGATTTAGGGATAATGTTTGAACCATTCAACATGGTGGAGAGGAACTCATCTAGCCCTGCGTGTGTTCGGCGGGATATGGGTAAGTGTGATGGAAGGTGAATGAATGCACCACCGCCGAAAACCCAGTTGAACTTGGTGGAAACGCCGATGTGAAGTGAATCAACAATTCACGTAGAGATAGTTAATGAGGCCCTCAACATGGAGAGAAGTTACTGTCCAGTGCGACTCATTCAAGCGAGAAGACGGAAATGGGAAAAATTGTGAATGAATCAGCATGGACATTCATTTTAACCTGGTGGGAACTCCGATGTGGGGTGAATCTTTCGGCAGATTCACCGGCATGTCATTTAGGGCTTCGAGTAGGACACACCCAGCCCTTCGCCAAGTAAGTGCATGCTGGAACCGAAACTGAACAAAAATACTGTCGTGCGTGAAGAGCAGCCAATTTACCTGCCAGGCGGCCGAAGCCGAGCTTTGCGTTCGTATCAGTTTGCTCCAACGGGCTACGGCAGAAGCAGCGCTCACACTACTTTTCTTCAACCTTCTTGAGCCAGCATGATATATTTACCGGTCGTCCCGGTGGTCCAGTGGGTAACCTCGCAGCCTGCTAAGGGCCAGGTCATGGGTTCGAGTCCCGACAGAGTGAGTGAGTTTTTTCTCACTAGATAAATCCTGGTCTAGGATGAAAGCGACGCGCTGCGAAGAAAGCTCGTTGTTAGTAAACCATAATCGACTTCGTAAGTCGCGAGGGAAGGATTGCTGTATGTACCCTTCTCGCGACAAAAATACCTCAGGCAGGAACCGCAGGAGGGGGTCCAACCCCCCCGTCCTATTTCACCCTGGTTGGATCCTCTAGCTAGTAGAAGTGGGGGATATGGGCCAGAGGGGCAGACGACAGAGTCCAATGATGGGAGAAAAATATATGTATATATTCTATATATACTTGGTCAGACAGACCGTTGTCGGCAGCCCCCACCGTCATAGAGCGACAGTGGCGGCGAAAGTCCGGAAAACGTCTGGATCAGCGCCCCATGATTTACTGTTTTCCAGGAAAATCATATCCGCGTTTGGTAACGGCCCTGTAGTGGAGGTGTTGAGGAAATAGTTGTGTCAGCCCTGCACAGCAGTCTGTCTCTTGCAAAACGTTTGTCTCGTGGATATGACCCGGTGGAGGACTCTTCTCTTCTGCTTTGTATTTGTTTTCGGGCCTTCACACGGCTATCACAACCTCCTCCGGTGAGTACCGATGCATGGAGCGTTCCTACCGCCTTGGCACTAGTTCCTCCTATCTATTTATACCTGTGCTCGTCACAAGATGAGCACTCTGACACCACCGTGAAACCATGGCCCGGATATCGCGAAATGTGCGTCTGGATGATGCCTAGACTAATGGACGTATTCGTTCTGATGACTGGGTCACCAAGAGCGAGATAAAGAACGCGGTGGTCCATGGGCCCAATTTTCCCATGCTGTTCCCGCCATCTATACTTCGAATAGACAATCAACTTGTCGCCCAGACATGTTTTCTTTTCCGCCAAATGCTCGGTGCAAACATCATGGGTTTGAATCCCGGGATAAATATAATCAGAATTCTGGAGTCGCGACAAGGAAAGTCACACGTTGTACCGGACAGAGCCAAATATCGCTTGGACTTCGGCCAAAGACTAGCTTAGCATGCGCATAGACCTAATACAGTATCCGCATTCATTCAGGAACACGTCGGGATCGCCACCCGCTTCCAGGCGGGCGACGTACAACGTCCAATCTTCAATGTTATAACCGCCTCGATGAAACATGGGAGAAAACCTCAGTGATACCGGTACATGTGATCCGGTCGCCCCGGTGGTCTAGTAGGTAACCTCGCAGCCTGCTAAGGGCCAGGTCATGGGTTCGAG